AAAGGAGAGGGCCATGGGGGAAGCGTCGCCGCGTCACAAAGTCAGGCCCCACTCCCACCCCCGTACTTGGGAAAGCTCCCCCAACTCAGTCCCCAGCACTCGCCGGGGGATGGGTGGGAGACGCAGTGACCACAACGCTGCAGCCCGGACCCGGGGGGCTGAGCTTCCACCTGAGAGGATGAGACGCCCTGAACCAAATCCACAGATAATCGCTGGCCCACTTGTAGTAAGTGCTATGATTCGTTTATGCCTGGCGGGGACCTTAAGACGTTTCGTAAAGCTGGTCTGAGCATCTGCCAAGATCAGCTTTATTCAGACTGAGATTTTCGCCAAGCCTAAGAGCCTTCACCGGCGTGCCCACAATCTGCCAGCTCTGCGTGGGCATCTGGAAGTCGGGGCCTGGGGGCCCCCAGCCCCACCCCATGCCAGCTCCCTGAGCTCCCTGCAGTGCTGGCCCTGCTTGGAGAGGGTGGAGGTGGCCTTCTGAGGACGCAGTCATGCCATTACTGAGCACTTCCTCCGAAACTCAGAGCTCCTCGTGATTTCCAAAGAGAGCACGTGGCAGTGTTATTTGTAAAAATAATAAAATATCTGTAAAATATTACTTTATGTTAAGAAGTTGTACATATGACACTTTCAATGCTAAACACCTGGCGGCCGTTCAGGGTAGCTGTCGAGGGCCCTGCTGTGTTTCTGCCTGGAGGGGCCGCACTGCCGCGGGCCACGTTCCCAGGGCTCAGACACCCAAGGAGCTCACTGACCTCCTTGGTTATGCTGAATCCCAGCATTTTCTTTCTTAAAAGAACAGAAATCTACCTAGGCAACTACGTTGTGTTCAGGGCTTCTGGGTAGGGCACCTCACGGCCCGAGCCAATCTTGGAAGATGCTGAACTCGAAGCCCCAGGAGGTAGGAAACATATCCCGTCCTCCCACTGAGGCATCCCTTGCACCCTAGAAGGTGCTGGACGTGGCGGCTCGCTCATTAGCGCACGCTGGAAGCTGCTAATCACGGGGCCTTGGGCCAGGGGCAGGGGCAGCCCAGCCCAGGGCAGGGCAGTGAGGACAGGACCAGAGCAGCTGCCACAGGTTTCCCCTCCAGCCTCAGGACGTGATTTAACTTTCTTGTCCACTTGGCTTTTTCCAGCTTTATTCTGCTGCTCAGCTGGGCTTATCTTAGGGGCACACAGGCACTCGCTGCAGAGGCAAAGGACACACGAGGGCACCGCTGGTCCCCAGCTCTTGTTCTGCAGGTCGGGGGCAAGTGAGCTCACCAGCCACCAGCAGACACGGACTGACCTCGAGCCCAGAGCCTCACACAGAGGAGGTTTGACAACGATCAATGACACCCGAGAGCCAGGAGCCGGGGCTGAAATCCGCCCAGGGAGGGGCGTGGCTGGGCCGGGCTGGCCCCGTCCACTCTGATCTCTGCCCTGCGACTCAGCACTGCACAAGGATCCTGGGTCCCCCGGATGTTGCCGACTAACACTTACATGTTGATTAATCCGTGTGATCCGTTTGGGTGGATCAAATAACATGCAGGGACTGAAGAAACACCAAGGTTCTCCAGAAGAGCTTTATCTGCATCCAGTGCTCTGGTCACCACGATGTTTTCATACAGAATCAAGTCTAAAATCACCTGAGAAATGAGAAAATAATGTCACTTCCA